CTCTCCTCTGAGCCGAAACGTATTCTGATAAATATGTCTTAGTGTTTGCTCGCTTGTTTTGAAACCACTGGTAGGTATCAGTTACTAAGGTTGATACCAATAGAGACTTGGTAGCAGTGTGATGGTCAGCTCGTGTGCTCCCTCCAGCGTTACTTATCGAACTACACTACAGTGTCACACTGACACAGTAGATAGAATTGTAACACAGGTAGAACAACAGTAAGACTGTGTCACAGTGACACAGTAGACACAGTTTTAGACCAAGATATGTACACTTTGATTTTCATGACTGACGTAGATACAGAGCTTATTTTCGTCCTTACGTTGGGCATGAAAGTACTCTTGACCTTAGATCAGGGTGGCAGTTAGAGGTATTTTCCAGACGTTTTAGTTTGTGACACTAAAACTTCCTTCATCCCCACCATGTCATAGGTAACACATACTGGAGGGTGCCATCATCCACCCCATGTGAAGGGTGTGACACATAGTGTCATTCACGGTGTGCCTGTCACACTCATTCACAAGGTAGGCGGCTGCCTGGACCTGTTAAACCGCATCTCTCTCCCACATACACACTCACTCCTCCCCCATTCAATAACTGTGCTGATAGAGGCGCTCATCCGGCCACACACGAGTAATTAATGCGTCAGTTTCCGGTCGTGATTGATAAGCAGTGAACTGGGAGGAGGACATCCGGTGGTGGTGAAGTGTGAGTGAGCAGCGCGTCAGGTGGGGACAGGTAAACTCCCTACCATCACCACCCACTACCATCACCACCCACTACCATCACCACCCACTACCATCACTACCCACTACTATCACCACCTACTACCATCACCACCCACTACCATCACCACCCATTACCATCACCACCCACTACCATCACCACCCTTACCATCACCACCCACTACCACCACCACCCACTACCATCACCACCCACTACCATCACCACCCACATCCATCACCACCCACTACCATCACTACCCACTACTATCACCACCTACTACCATCACCACCCACTACCATCACCACCCATTACCATCACCACCCACTACCATCACTACCCACTACATCACCACCACCTACTACCACATCACCACACCACTACCATCACCACCCACTACCATCACCACCCACTACCCACACACCATCACCACCCACTACCCACTACCATCACCACCAACTACCCACTACCATCACCACCAACTACCCACTACCATCACCACCCACTACCATCACTACCCACTACTATCACCACCCACTACCATCACCACCCACTACCAATCACCACCCACTACCATCACCACCCACTACCATCACCACCAACTACCCACTACCATCACTACCCACTACTATCACCACCTACTACCATCACCACCACACTACCATCACCACCCACTACCATCACCACCCACTACCCAGTACCATCACCACCCACTACCATCACCACCCACTACCATCACCACCAACTACCCACTACCATCACCACCAACTACCATTTGTAATCAAAACAATAGTCTAGTATGGTTATCGCCTCGCTATTCGACTGATGAAGACTGCTACGCAGGCGAAACATTTCATAAGATAAATATCATTTCACATTTGTTTTACTCATCTTCCTGTATCTACCTGTAGGTAATGTGGAGAGAAATGGAGACAGGCACAAATGCAATGTAATGAGATCATTGATAACTTGACTTAAGAAATCGTAATGACACGATTGCAAATAAACCATACCCCCGGCCGGGATTGAACCCGCGGTCATAGAGTCTCAAAACTCCAGCCCGTCGCGTTAGCCACTAGACCAGCTAGCCACAATAAGATTCATCCAACTAGTTGGATGAATCTTATTGTGGGTTCAATCCCGGCCGGGGGTATGGATCATTGATAACGTCCAGAAAATTCACTGCGTGGGAGAAGCACTGTCAATAAAGGATTTTATTACCCATATGTGTGTGTCTCTTTCCTTCCTTGCTTTTACTGCATGCTATTACTAAGAAAAATTCGTCTCTGCAACATACCATCAACGCCAAACGAATTTCCCTCGCTTCCATCACCTCTAAATAATTGTGGTATGCTGTTATGAGGTATGATGTTATGAGGTATGCTGTTATGAGGTATGCTGTTATGAGGTATGCTGTTATGAGGTACACACGTGTTTTGACATTAACTCTTAGGTTGGATGGGTACTGGGAGGGGTACAGGGGGGTGGGGATCACCCCGTGTGTGTCAGTCACTGCCAGGGTCATTAAATATGCGCTCTACACGTGTTAGAAGCAAATGTTAATGCAGATACCCTGGGTGAAGGTCACGTGTGACCAGCACGAGTCACGTATGATCACCACGAGGTCACGTGTGACCAGCACGAGTCACGTATGACCATGAGGTCACGTGCAACCAGCACGAGGTCACGTGTGACCAGCACGAGGTCACGTGTGACCAGCACGAGGTCACGTGTGAGCAATATGCAGCTACGCACAACACGTGTACCAGCATGAGGGCGCGCACGTGCCAGACAGGTGGTCGCTACTAATGCAATCAGTGCAGGAGACGCACCTCATCCTAGAGTCAGTTATTTACCTGCCGCGCCGCCCACATACTCATCCCTCACGCCCTTACATGACAACATAACGATCATAACACTATAAATGCATTAAAAAGACGTAAATATTATTGAAGAAGACGTCAGACTACAAGAACGAAGGAATGTAGATAACTGATTCAGAGAACCGGCAAATTGATAAATTGATACACAGTTGCAACACTTGGGTGTCTATTATGAAAACGTTTCGCCACACAGTGGCTTCATCATTCCAATACAAAGAAAGGTGAAGATCAAGGTTTGAGCATCAGTCCTCAAATGGACTAGTAACAATACGTCAATCTGAAAAATACGTTATGGCTGAAGCTATATACTGCAGACAGGAGTGATGATTGATACATGACTCAGCTGGACTGACTACCTCAACTTCTGACTATACATTCTTCTTGTATGCTTGAAACACTGTGATACGAACTTCCACATAAAGATACCTAAGTTTCATATGTGCTTAATTTACAAGAACAGAAACAACAGCTAGAGAGTGAAGGCAGATCTATACATAGTTTAGAACAGGCTGATGAGCTCAGTAGCAAGTGATACCTGGAGAGAGTTCCGGAGTCACGCCCCCGCGATCCGTCTGTGACAGGGCTCATGATGGCCAGCTGATAACCACTGTTACTCGCTCCGCACCAATCAAGTACGAACCACAACCGCTGGTCATGGTACTGACTTTACGGAGCCGTCCAGTGCCTGCTTGAAGCAGCAGAGTGTATTGTTCCCTTATGTATGCTGGGCAGTATGAACATCTTACCTGGAGGTTACCTGGAGGTTATTCCGGGAATCAACGCCCCCGCGGCCCGGTCCATGACCAGGCCTCCCGATGGATCAGGGCCTGATCAACTAGGCTGTTACTGCTGGCCGCACGCAGTCCGACGTACGAGCCACAGCCCGGCTGATCCGGCACTGACTTTAGGTATCTGTCCAGCTCTCTCTTGAAGGCAGCCAGGGGTTTATTGGCAATTCCCCTAATGCTTGATGGGAGGCTGTTGAACAGTCTTGGGCCCCTGACACTTATTGTGTTGTCTCTTATCGTGCTACTGGCACCCTTGGGTGTGAACCCATAGCAGTCATCGGAGAGGCGGGGCCAGGAGCAGACTCTCAACGTCTACAACCAAAGATAAATGAGTACTGGCCGATGCTAAATCTGTCTTTACTCATACCCACTAAGATTCACCTGTTCTGAAAATTATCCAAGATTCTCGCATTAATGACGCTACTTGGAAGTTCGTTCATGCGTCATAAATTGTGAGAGTTTGTGCTTGCAAAACTAACTCTACCTTGTAATAATGTTGGTAAAATTACCGACGATATGTTAGGTCAAAAGATGCAACTAATGCCACGATAAAATGTTACATTAGTTGCACTTGTGTCCTTTTACCTAACTCTGCCTTCTGTTGACGAGTCGCAGCCCAGGCGCTTGAACTAAGCTAAATAAGACTAAATGCGTGGAGAACGATAGTGTTACCAAAGTTTAAAGAGAGTGGGACTCGACCCTCGTGCGAAACATGAACTAACGTACGATGACACACATTTATTGACCACAGTTCTTGTTATTGTTTTCTCAGTAAAAATGCACTGATTTTATTTTGTGTAATGGGAATATTAGACAATTGTCTCTTATTTTTAAAAAATGTGTAATATTTAAACATATTGGGCAGTTAAAGGGATTCTCTGATAATGTGGGTAATGTCTGACCGGACGAATGTTGTCAGTATTCCAGTTTACCGAGAACTGGGTAGGTCTAACACTACTAACTTATGATATAAACTAAGTAAGGTAGTATCATTGGAATGCAAGTGTGTTGGTATGTGGTGGGTAGAGTTGTGTTACTGGAAGTGTGAGTGAGGGTGTTTGTGTGTGTGGAAGGTGAGGCAAGCGTGTGTCGGTAGTTGTCCACGTGAGGGTTGTCACCTCTCACCCACAACCGCTACTCCCCCCCCCCCTCTCTCTCTCTCTCTCTCTCTCTCTCTCTCTCTCTCTCTCTCTCTCTCTCTCTCTCTGTCATTTAATTATTCTACCTCCATCGATGTAGACTACATCATATCCAGTCTTGGGGTAACAATCATACCTTCTTAGGGTAATACAAAATAATAGGCCAGTCTTGAGATAATACAAAATAATAGACCTAGTCTTGAGGGTAAACAAAATAATAGACCTAGTCTTGAGGATAAACAAAATAATAGACCTAGTCTTGAGGGTAAACAAAATAATAGACCTAGTCTTGAGGGTAAACAAAATAATAGACCTAGTCTTGAGGGTAAACAAAATAACAGCTCTGGACCTGAGATAAACAAAATTGATCTGGTCTTGAGGTCAAAGAGAAGACAAGTAAACTACAGCAGTGGGAGCAGGTGGTGAGGGCGGGCGGGGCAGTGTGTGTGCCCAGCGCCCTGATGAACTGCGGGTGCCATGCCCTCCCTCCCCTGCTCCCACCTCCTACTGGTATATGGCACAAGCAACACCCTGACATCATTAACAAGCAAGGTGCGCATCCCTACCTGCTTGTCGGCGTGGCATCGGGCTGCCTTCATGGCTACCACTCCTCCATTAGTATTACTTTGAGTCAGTAAGCACGCTAAAACGTGGTCTGAATAAGTAGGTGGTCGTTGTAAAGAAACTTTAACCAGAATAACTGTAACAGCGATCCATCAATTAACTCTTGACTCTAGCCATCTGTGCGTTATTTAGATCTAAACATAGATATAACGAAATAATGTAAGAGAAGAATGAGAGCAAAACCCAGTAGTCTGGCAGTAGATATAGGAGAATGAGACTTAATAAAATATACGTACTGAGTGCTTCATAGTGGCTGGCTAGTGCCAGGCTACCGTTGATGCCACTGGTAGGTTTCAGTACCGTTTTACAGCCTAGATATAAAAGCCTGTGTCATGTTAGTGTGCTAGACTCGTGTAGAAGCAGACTTAAGGTAAAGTTTGCTTTGGGTATGCAGTAGTAGGTGGAGAGAGAGCAGGGCTATAATGTGTTGTAGTGGTAATGTGTGGCGGGTCGCGGCAGGCGGGGGCACGAGTCTAGGTGCAGGTGTGCGCGCTGCCCGCCTGTGGGAACGCGCTTGTTCCCACGGTGCAGCCACATTCCGACATCCTCCTGCCGCATGCCTCCACACTTTAACTATATTTACTTATCCTCATAAGTGTTTTGCTTAATTGTAGGCATTAAACATTCTTGTATGACTCACTATATATGCTACTAGAGATACAGTTAAAAATTCGTGTGTGGCTTAAAAATTCGCTGGTTAATTGTAGTCAGAAGTCGCAGCGCGACGGTAGTCGGCGAAGACTGGCAACTGGTTCCTCCGCGGGTATAACAACGGCGGGACGTGGGCAGAGCGAACATACTCTCTCTAAACCTGGTTAGAGCCACTCTTGTGCCTTACTGGATAACTGCGCACATACACGCTAGCTTTTTCCCGCTATGGCGTCCACATACGAAGTAAATATTGAGGATGTTGAGCCGCTGTCCCGCACCTACCAGTACCGCAAGGTGATGAAGCCCATGCTGGAGCGCAAGCGCAGAGCTCGCATCAACAAGTGCCTGGACGAACTGAAGGACCTGATGGTTGGAGCACTGCAGTCTGAGGGCGAGACCATCACTAAACTGGAGAAGGCCGACGTATTGGAGCTGACGGTGCGTCACTTGCGCAAGCTTAAGCAGCACCATGCCCTTGCCCTGCCCTCCCACAACAACGCCCACGACAAGTTTCGAGCAGGATTTACCCATTGTGCCAACGAAGTGTCCCGTTTTGTGACTTCGGTGCCTGGCGTTGACATCCACGTTTCCACCAGGCTCTTGTCTCATCTTGGCAGCTGCATCAATCAAATCGACAAGATCTCGGCGCCACAACCTGCCGCACCTATCACGCCTGCGGTCACACCCACCTCTACGCCCACTGGTATGGTGCCCATTACAGTGACAGTGCCTCGTGTGTACACACCTCCAGCCAGCCCGGAGAGCAAGCCCAGTCCCACAAGCCTTCCTGTTATGGTGTCTCCACAACCCACCGCTGTCAGCCCGAAGCCCGGCAGTCCAAGCCAGCCTGTGTCCCTTGCCCCTGGTCGTGTGGGAGTGCCCTCAGGAAGCCCGATGTGGCGTCCATGGTAGTGTTGTGGCCCCATTCTCGTGCCCATTCATAGTACCTGAGTTCCCGGTGCCCCGTCTGTCTCGCTACCCTGGCGAGAAAATGAGACCCTTGGGCCACTGCGGCTCCAACAACGACAGAGATCCAGCAGTGTACGTCGTGTTGGCTAAACCACCGTTTCATGCTGTGTCGTTGTACCTACAGTGCACAATAGACTGTTGTCGTACCTACAGCGCACAAGAGATTGCCGTCGCCTGCTGTGTCGTCGTACCTACAGTGCACAATAGACTTGTCGCCTGCTGTATCGTTGTACCTACAGTGCACAAGAGACCCTCCCGTCGCTTGCTGCGTCGTCGCACCTACAGTGTACAAGAGACCTCCCCTTCCCCTTCGCCTGCTGTGTAGTCGTGCACACGAGACCAGGGTTGTTGCTGCGTCTCGCTGCCTCCCCCAGCATACATGAGAGACCAGTGTGTCTCGTAGCCTCCCTCAGCACCCACAACACATCGTGGGCCGCTACGTCAGCTGAGACTTGCCTCGGCTAACAGCGCAGCCTCCGCGGCCCACCTGATGCGCACCCTCGGGTGCGCTGTGATATATATCCTGTGATAATTGTCTTTCATACAGATTTAATACAGTATTTATTTTGTTATTCTTGTTAATAAAACAGTCTTGAAAGTACTCTTAAAGTTTCTCTTATGTCCTCTTGTTATTGTTGAACAAATGCAACTGAGATCTTGCAGTAAATTTATAATGAACTTGGATTACGTGTTATAAGCATGCATCACATGATGTATGCGCATCATGTGTGATGTATGTGCATGTATCACGTGATGTCTGTGCATGTATCACGTGATGTCTGTGCATGTATCACGTGATGTCTGTGCATGTATCACGTGATGTCTGTGCATGTATCACGTGATGTCTGCGCATGTATCACGTGCGATGTATGGGCATGTATCACGTGTGATGTATGCATAAGTGTCGGATATGAAATGCATGCATATGCCACGTGTGATGTATGCACACGTGTCGGATGTGTAATGTACGCACATGTGCCATGGTAAACAAACAGCTGTGTCGCAAGTGTTCTCCGAAATTAAATTCTCCATGTACAGATTAAATTACAAAGTATATGTTGACTTACAAACAAGGGTTCAAATACTCGTGGAAGATTGTATATATGTATATACTCTATAAAAATGAATGTACGAAGGGTGTGAATACCGAATGGACTCAGATTAGTGACTGGTATATGGGTGACGTTACTCGTGTAGTTAATAGGCTTGAAACCAAATCAACACACACACACACAAGCTGTATAGCCCTTGTGGCTTAGCGCTTTTTTTTTTTATTATAATAATAATAACACACACACACACACACACACACATTTTATATGTATATATATATATATATATATATATTATATATATATATATTATATATATATATATATATATATATATATATATATATATATATATATATATATATATATATATATATATATATATATATATATATATTTATCGGCTCCATTTGTCTAAGGTGCTGTATGACCCCTAGGGGTTTAGCGCTCGAAACACGAGTATGATGACTGTATCATAAATTTTTCTTGAAGGTAGATTCCAGCAGTGTGGTAGATGAAGGTAGACTTCAGTAGTGTGGTAAATGATGGGTAGACTCCAGCAGTGTAGTAGAAGGTAGACTCCAGCAGTGTAGTAGAAGGTAGACTCCCAGCAGGTATAGTAGAAGGTAGACTCCAGCAGTGTAGTAGAAGGTAGACTCCAGCAGTGTAGTAGAAGGTAGACTCCAGCAGTGTAGTAGAAGGTAGACTCCAGCAGTGTAGTAGAAGGTAGACTCCAGCGTCAGTGTAGTAGAAGGTAGACTCCAGCAGTGTAGTAGAAGGTAGACTCCAGCAGTGTAGTAGTGAAGGTAGACTCCAGCAGTGTAGTAGAAGGTAGACTCCAGCAGTGTAGTAGAAGGTAGACTCCAGCAGTGTAGTAGAAGGTAGACTCCAGCAGTGTAGTAGAAGGTAGACTCCAGCAGTGTAGTAGAAGGTAGACTCCAGCAGTAGTAGAGAAGGTAGACTCCAGCAGTGTAGTAGAAGGTAGACTCCAGCAGTGTAGTAGAAGGTAGACTCCAGCAGTGTAGTAGAAGTAGACTCCAGCAGTGTAGTAGAAGGTAGACTCCAGCAGTGTAGTAGAAGGTAGATCCAGCAGTGTAGTAGAAGGTAGACTCCAGCAGTGTAGTAGAAGGTAGACTCCAGCAGTGTAGTAGAAGGTAGACTCCAGCAGTGTAGTAGAAGGTAGACTCCAGCAGTGTAGTAGAAGGTAGACTCCAGCAGTGTAGTAGAAGGTAGACTCCAGCAGTGTAGTAGAAGGTAGACTCCAGCAGTGTAGTAGAAGGTAGACTCCAGCAGTTTTAGTAGAAGGTAGACTCCAGCAGTGTAGTAGAAGGTAGACTCAGCAGTGTAGTAGAAGGTAGACTCAGCAGTGTAGTAGAAGGTAGACTCCGCAGTGTAGTAGAAGGTAGACTCCAGCAGTGTAGTAGAAGTAGACTCCAGCAGTGTAGTAAGAAAAGGTAGACTCCAGCAGTGTAGTAGAAGGTAGACTCCAGCAGTGTAGTAGAAGGTAGACTCCAGCAGGTAGTAGAAGGTAGACTCCAGCAGTGTAGTAGAAGGTAGACTCCAGCAGTGTAGTAGAAGGTAGACTCCAGCAGTGTAGTAGAAGGTAGACTCCAGCAGTGTAGTAGAAGGTAGACTCCAGCAGTGTAGTAGAAGGTAGACTCCAGCAGTGTAGTAGAAGGTAGACTCCAGCAGTGTAGTAGAAGGTAGACTCCAGCAGTGTAGTAGAAGGGTAGACTCCAGCAGTGTAGTAGAAGGTAGACTCCAGCAGTGTAGTAGAAGGTAGACTCCAGCAGTGTAGTAGAAGGTGGGACTCCAGCAGTGTAGTAGAAGGTAGACTCCAGCAGTGTAGTAGAAGGTAGACTCCAGCAGTGTAGTAGAAGGTAGACTCCAGCAGTGTAGTAGAAGGTAGATTCCAGTGTAGTAGAAGGTAGACTCCAGCAGTGTAGTAGAAGGTAGACTCCAGCAGTGTAGTAGAAGGTAGACTCCAGCAGTGTGGTAAGTGATGGTACCTGGTTACCTGGAGGTTATTCCGGGGATCAACGCCCCCGCGGCCCGGTCCATGACCAGGCCTCCCAGTGGATCAGGACCTGATCAACCAGGCTGTTACTGCTGGCCGCACGCAGTCCAACGTACGAGCCACAGCCCGGCTGATCCGGCACTGACTTTAAGTATCTGTCCAGCTCTCTCTTGAAGGCAGCCAGGGGCTTATTGGTAATTCCCCTAATGCTTGATGGGAAGCTGTTGAACAGTCTTGGGCCCCGGACACTTATGGTATTTTCTCTTAGTGTACCAATAGCGCCCCTTCTTTTAATTGGGGGTATTTTGCATCGCCTGCCCAGTCTTTTACTTTCGTAGGGAGTGATTTCTGTGTGCAGATTCGGGCTCCAGCGGTGTAGTAGATAAGAACATAAGAAAGAAGGAACACTGCAGCAGGCCTACTGGCCCATGCGAGGCAGGTTCAAGTTTCCTACCGGCTTAAGCCAATGCACTCAACCTAGTCACGTCAGGTCACATTCACTTAAGGAAGGAACACGGCAACTGACCTAGTAGCACAAGCTAATCAGGTCCAACTCACACCCACCCACACCCACTCATGTATTTATCTAACCTATTTTTAAAACTACACAACGTTATAGCCTCTATAACTGTACTGGGGAGTTTGCTCCGCTCATCCACAACTCGGTAGGTAAGACACATAGGCAACAGTTAGGCAACTTTATTCCGAAACGTTTCGCCTACACAGTAGGCTTCTTCAGTCGAATACAGAAAGTAGGCAGGAACAGTAGAGATGTGAAGACGATGTAATCAGTCCATCACCCTTGAAGTCGTGGAATTTGAGGTTGTCAGTCCCTCAGCCTGGAGAAGTTGCCTAACTGTTGCCTATGTGTCTTACCTACCAACCTGTCGGTATTGTATACCATTTTGATGTTCATCTTGTCAGACACTGCAACACATGGCCTCTTGGTACAGAAAACATCTTGGACAACCCTTTCAAGTGAGAACTGTTGGATCTGAGAGGGACCTGTCCTCTCAGTGGGTACATTCTCACTACTACTACTATGCACCTCTCCTTCCGACAGTAAGTCTCCGCACTGTCGCTTGATCTTCAGATAGTTCCTGACTATGGAACTGAACTTCTCCAGGCTGAGGGACTGACAACCTCAAATTCTACGACTTCAAGGGTAATGGACTGATTACATCGTCTTCACATCTCTACTGTTCCTGCCTACTCTCTGTATTCGACTGAAGAAGCCTACAGTGTAGGCGAAACGTTTCGGAATAAAGTTGCCTAACTGTTGCCTATGTGCCTTACCTACCAACCTGTCGGTATTGTATACCATTTTGGTGTTCATCCACAACTCTATTACCAAACCAGTGTTTCCTATATCCTTCCTGAATCTGAATTTTTCCAACTTAAAACCATTGCTGCGAGTCCTGTCTAGGCTAGATATTTTCAGCACATTATTTACATCCCCTTTATTTATTCCTGTCTTCCATTTATACACCTCAGTCATATCGCCCCTAGTTCTACGCCTTTCTAGAGAGTGCAGATTAAGGGCCCTCAGTCTGTATTCATATGGAAGGTTTCTGATACATGGGATCAACTTTGTCATCCTCCTTTGGTAGATTCCAGCAGTGTGGTAGATGACAGTAGACTCCAGCAATGTGGTAGATGATAGTAGACTCCAGCAGTGTGGTAGATGATAGTAGACTCCAGCAGTGTGGTAGATGATAGTAGACTCCAGCAGTGTGGTAGATGATGGTAGACTCCAGCAGTGTGGTAGATGATAGTAGACTCCAGCAGTGTGGTAGATGATAGTAGACTCCAGCAGTGTGGTAGATGATAGTAGACTCCAGCAGTGTGGTAGATGATAGTAGACTCCAGCAGTGTGGTAGATGATAGTAGACTCCAGCAGTGTGGTAGATGATAGTAGACTCCAGCAGTGTGGTAGATGATAGTAGACTCCAGCAGTGTAGTAGATGATAGTAGACTCCAGCAGTGTGGTAGATGATAGTAGACTCCACAGTGTGGTAGATGATAGTAGACTCCAGCAGTGTGGTAGATGATAGTAGACTCCAGCAGTGTAGTAGATGATAGTAGACTCCAGCAGTGTGGTAGATGATAGTAGACTCCAGCAGTGTAGTAGATGATAGTAGACTCCAGCAGTGTGGTAGATGATAGTAGACTCCAGCAGTGTGGTAGATGATAGTAGACTCCAGCAGTGTAGTAGATGATAGTAGACTCCAGCAGTGTGGTTAGATGATAGTAGACTCCAGCAGTGTAGTAGATGATAGTAGACTCCAGCAGTGTGGTAGATGATAGTAGACTCCAGCAGTGTAGTAGATGATAGTAGACTCCAGCAGTGTGGTAGATGATAGAAGACTCCAGCAGTGTGGTAGATGATAGTAGACTCCAGCAATGTAGTAGATGATAGTAGACTCCAGCAGTGTGGTAGATGATATTTAGACTCCAGCAGTGTGGTAGATGATAGTAGACTCCAGCAGTGTAGTAGATGATAGTAGACTCCAGCAGTGTGGTAGATGATAG